ACTTTTGGTTGGAAGTTGACACCTTGTCTGCATGGCGACGTACTCATGCAGAAGCCGCCAGGTTTTTTTACAAAGACCTATTTGCCGTAATGAAGTTAGAACGCTCTGTCTGCAGTTCGGTTGTGCGCAGTGTATCTCACAAGACTTCAAATTTCACTGCTTTGAACTCCTCATCAATTCAAATCTTACTAAACTGTCAGGAATAGAAGGATTTTGAACTTCTGAGCGGTTTTCCGCTCTATCGAGGTGTTTAGAGTGGATCATGATCAGACGGAGTGCACCACTCATTTTTGGAAAAAAGGCGTCCAAAGCGGAACCAGAGTCCTCAGAGTTGCGATGACGTACAGGCTATGCACACGAGTCTGTCGTTATACACGCGACGTGTTGAGCACGCGACAGAGCCTTTCGATCATTAGAACTCAATTTCTGCAGTTCGAAAACCCGTCTACCTGGAGGTGAGGTTGGGGCTTGTTTATCTATATCAGCGATTACGCAATGTTAACTCAAGCGCTTTTCGCCATATTCATTGCAAAGGCTCGGCAAAGCATAGGGCCTTCATCCGAGTCAAACAAGTGCTTCAAAATTCAGTGAAAAAGCAGTTTTTTGCAAATGATGTGACCTATTATGCATTTTAAAGCAAAAAATGCAGTACGAATCTTCTTCTTGAAAGGCGACCCCTTCCAAGTGTAACAAATGTTTTATGTTTTGATGTTCTATATGTACAAAAAATTTGAGGTTCAAAAAACGCAGTACTGATTGAAAATGAGAAGTGGCTTTATAACTGTGACCAGCCTTCGAAACCCGTTTTTTCAAATTTTCAATTTTTCTCCGGCCAAAATCCATGAAATCAGGAGCCGTTCTGGTCAATGGTATGACGTTAGTTTGCGCACAGAATAGTGGTTTTTCAGACAAATATGAGCAAGAGGGAGCAAATTACGGTGATTTTTAGGGTGGCTTTATAGCTATGGCCAGCACTGTATTACGCGACGATACCGTCCGTACAAAATTCACAAACAGCTGGAAAGGTCCTTTTATTGTCGTGTCTGTTGCTCGACCCAACATTACTATGACCAATTTGAACGGATCGCTCCAGCAAACAATTTACATGAATAGATTAACAATCTATCCCCATGGTTCGACATTGGCTAAAGTTTCCTCTCAAAAACTACAACTCAAACACACAACGGAAACTGCAGAAAATGTCGAACAACCTCAGTCTGTCGAACGAATATCTCGTTCACAGCTGAGAAACCAACAATTTAGCGTGGATCCAAATATCGATCTTGAAGGAGAGGATGAATAACTGCTCGTTAAATTTTCATACACATTCGATTTTTTGCAATGAGTAGTCATTTATTCTCTAAGGTTAATTTGTTTCCCCTATTTTGCCGCACCGTCGCGTTTTTACCCACTTGCAAATTTTTTTGAACAGGCAATTTAAAGAAATTTTTTCGCATTAGGCAGCGCAACATCAAAAACTTTATGTGACAAACAAATTTTGCCCTTATGTTGAATGAAAAAAGTGTGCAGTGCCCAATTCAACGTATGAACTCATTATGCCTCTGTTATTACATGCAGTTACTCACAGACAATGTTACTATGAACAAAATTTTGTAACTTTGTAAAATTACTGCTAAATTATGTTTCATGATTGTCTAAGGATTATCGTCAAAATGTTCTACGCATATTATGGATTTATCACTTATTTATCATTATTATTATCCTAATAAAATTTGTTGTTGATCTGTTATACCTTCTACCTCGTATGTTCATTACTTTATATTCCAATTTTCTACATGCTGTGAACTCCAACCCAAAGGATGAATCATTTGCCTCCTTGATCAACTCAATTTCTACATGCCCCCAATATCATCGGATTAAGCTCTCCTACACCTCCATTCCCATCCCTTCTCATCATCATATCAGGAAGAACCCCCACTCAAAGTAAACTGCACTTCTCCGCAGTCTCCTACACCTCCCTCAGCTACCTTCAAGCTCGAGGACGATCTTACTCAAAGCCATGGGATATTCTAGGTGAAGGTCGTGTCTGCTTGCAGTTTACTGGATCCATATCCTCAAATATACTATGTATCATCAATGTACTCACAACTTCAATTTATATGTTCTCGCCGTAAATCACGTGCATATGCCAACGCACGTTACCCGGAAGAACGTCAACTATGCCAATAGCAACTACAACAGTCGAAACCCCAACTATGCTACAAGCTCGAGGACGAGCTTCTTGAAGGGATGGAGATGTCGGGACGCAGCTAGCTACAACAGCTGCTCGAGAAGGAGGTTGGCCGAAGACAGCCAACCTCTGGCAGTGACCTCCGGCCTCCAGCACTAGCCGGTAGCCTTCCCTTTCCCCTTCCTCCCTTTTTTATATAACTATTCATAATAAATATTATAGTAAAACATATGTAAACCAGCTACACATCAGGCTAGGGCCCGTACACCCTCAACCTGACAGTAGCAAGCTGGTTACGAATGAAGTAATTGTTTGTAAAACGCTCAACACTTTCACGAATTTGACAATTTTTGGCAGACATCGAGCTACTAGGCTAAAGTTGGCACAAGTGGGAGGGGGAGGCTTCGAAGGTACGGGGAGGGGTAGGGAGTGAGCCAATCGTGAACAGGGCCCGCCACGAGGTCGGCAAATGACAAGCTGGAAATCGTTTTGGGGCCAAAAAGCAAAGGGGAAATCGTTTTTGCCGGGTCCGGGGCGGAGCCCCGGAAAAAAATTGGCAGTTCATGTTCGCTACTTATCTTGACATGTTATGTGCCTCAACAGGCGAACACTGGAGTTCGCGCGCGTCAAACCGCGCCGTCGCTAATTGCCGCACGCGCGACGTCGCCCAAGCGATGCTATTTGTAACAGCATGCATGACTAGTTCTCAATGTATGTGTAACGATATGACACCAAATTTTGTATGCGAACGAAGAGAGGCTAGTGGAAACATAGTATGAAAAATTATGTAAAACTTATGTGAACGGAACTAGTAATTAGCATTTTTTTCCGAGAATTTCGCAAAACTGGTAAATGAAGATGTGAATTCAAACGGCTCGTTTAAACGCGCAGATGAACGATATGGTATGAAACTTGGTAAGTAAATGCACACGGGCTTGCAGGGCTTAACTGAGGAGTTTCATTGAAAAATTATGTGACTGAAGGTTGTGGCAAACTTTTATCTGAAAATTTTGCGCTACCAAAGAAATGGAAAAATGGCTCGTTTGCAACGCAGAGGTAACGAAATCGCGCGGGATTCGGTGTGTATATGCGCAATAGGACTAAGTAATAAAGTATGAAATATTATGAAAAACTTATGTGAATGAAGAGTTTTCTTAACTAATTTCCAAATTAGGTCGGCATTTGCCGACCTAATTCCCACCTGAGGTCGGCAAAACTCTCAATTCACATAATTTTTTCAAAATTTTTACATAAATCTGTTGTACACCTAAAGTTTACTACATGGTGAAATTTTGGTTCCGAAGCTCCTCCTCTTGTCCTTGTTAGAGCCCAAAATCGCATCATCAGCCTAGCTTTCTAAGATGGAAAGCGCGCCCCAGTCAATCGATAGGCGCGGGAACGGCGTCTCTCATTCCTATGACTGCCTTTCTTTGATATTTTCTCATTCCTTAATCATTTTTCTTGCTTATTTTTCTTCCTGTTTCCTATCTTGATACAGCTGAGGAGTAGTTTGAGGAATTTGAGCAATTTGGGCGCCTTTGAGCGCTTTTGGGCGAAGTGTGGCCGGTAATCTCGTCGCACAAGCACAAAACGTCATTTTTGGGCTCAAGGGGGTATTCGTATAATTTATTGGGATCAAAGGGGAATTCGTTTTGGAAAACCCCGTTTTCCCACCTCGTGCCGGGCCATGATCGTGAAAACACGGAAAAAACAGAGATCTGATTTGAAGTGGAATGAATGTGTTTAACGAAATGGATGTGTTCTATCATGTTTTGTTGATAGGGACGAAGCGAAGCAGGGTATTCCAACCGGTTCAACATACCCTAATTTCACGCGTATAAGGCGCACTTTTTCGATTTTTCAAGCGAGCCGCTCAGCCGCTTCACTGTGTTTCGGAAAAAGATCCTTATACCGCACAATTCTCTTGAGCAATATACAGCACGTTATAGGGTCCTTTAGTTGTAAAGTCCTCTGGCGTGTCTGGGCTGATCGATTTTGGAAAAAAAATCCCCCGCCCCTTATACGCGTGAATTTAGGATAATTCAGGACACCATAAAAGGACTGTACACCTATCACTATTGTGTGACTAGAAGACTCAAGATTGCTCTGCGCACATTGTTTAGGCAAGGTTGAACTTGTTTTTTCCTGTTTTCCAAATGGCGAATAATCGTGAATTAGATAGATTATAACTGCGGACTTGCTAAATACGCGACCAAGTTTGTTTAGACAATGTGTGCAAAGCTGTCTCTAGTCCCCTAGTCATAGAATAGACGATACATTAACGATCTACATTTTGCACAATTACCGAAATGCCATGTTCTGTATAACGTCCATCTCCATACTGTTGGAGCCACATAAAAGTTTACCCAAAGAATTTTTTTGTTGGAAATCGATGTGCATACACATGAACGCATGCGGTCGTCAACGTTTGAGAGTTATCTCGTTTTCGGAGTCTTAAAGTGAGCACCTAGACTTGGAAACTATTTACTTCAGGTGTAATTTTTTAGATTGTTCGCCCCGCTTTCCAAGGAATCTACCACCGGAAGAAAAACATAGTAATGCGGAGTTCAACGGAAAAACCGATACTGACGGATCAAGGTCGTGTTATATTGAAAAGAAAACAGAGACAGGAAACATCGTTACTTCGTTTAAACACGCCTCAGCCATCTGGATCTTGCAGGCCACTAAACAGCCATTATCACACCATTTCAATAATCGTTTATTATCATTAGAGACCATGATCTTATAAAGGTCGAACAATCATCCTCTGAATATCCGAAGTGGGGAATCCCCAGTTTTTTGTGCAGCACTAAAGCCCACTTCCTTCCATAAGATCCCTGCCTTTCTGCCCACTTCCTTCCATTTCTCCGCTTCCTTCAACTAATCCGCTTCCTTCGCCGCTGAATTTATTCGCGTATTCTCCAAACAGTTTCAGCCTTTCTTCCTCATCCTGAAAAAAAAGGTGGTGTTGATGTTTTATACCGTGTGCACGAAGCCAAATAGTCATATAATAACAATATAATAATATAGTCAATAGTCATATAATAATATAATAATAGTCATACAAGTTCTCAAACAGTCAATCACTCTTCATTTGCCACAATGATTTGGGGTCAATTCACTCAACAAACTCAAGAACTCAGTATCGCCAATCTTACTAAAAATACTTTCAGGGGTGATATGACCCGTAGAAATGTCAAATCGATTGGTACGCTTGCCCATTGTCGTGGCTTACGGTAGGCATACGATAGGTGAATTAGGATCCCAAATTTGCTCCACACTTTGGTAACAGCCTTTAGCACGCTAACTGCGACTGCCTTATCGGTCCAAAAGAGACCTTTCCGGTAAGTTGTAACGGGTAAATGGTATGTCAATCATTTATGTACGCATGATCGTAATCAGTGCTGAAGAGCCTCCTTTGACAGAATTTTGAGCAAAAACGAGATTACGACAAACCCACCGTATTACGTATTTGAACGGTACCAAATTTTCTTACAATACATCAGAAATTAATAGATTTTCTGCTACTCTCTCTGATCTAAAAGTTCCCTCTTCAGACGGAAAAAGAATGTTGCAGGAGCCAAAGCTCTATCCGTTTTTGACAGTAACCGATGTAAGACTTACGACTATGCCATCGCTGTAATAAGGATGGAAGCAGTAGCCTTGGTTGACGTAATAAAATGGCTGACAACAGAAATTGAAGTTACATGGTTGCTTGTTACAGTATACCGCTTGTGTAACACCGTTGCATCTGAAAGATTTGATGCTTTTCCATGAAGTCTGGAATTTGATTACTTACGTTCTTCTGGACACACCACATCCTCCGCAGGGGAATGAGCATGCACTCCAAGCCGTGCATCCATATGGATTTCCTCGAGTAGTGGCTAGAAGTGTCACATTAGAAATGGATCAGGTATAGGCAAAATTTTGACGATTTTCGTAATACTAAGTATTCCGAAAGAAATTTCGCTCATATCTGAAAAGCGTAACATTGCATAGATCACAGATCCTCAAAAGCTTTTAGGCGCATTCGACACAACTTTTCTTCTTTTTTCAAAGGTGATTTACTCATTTCACTTTTGCTAAGGAGCTCTAAGAAATTGACCAAAAACTACAACTCATGACTTTTTTTGTAAAACTGTTATACCAATCCTTTAAAGCTCGATTAATTAATGGGCAGAGCAAAACCTATATATAAACCTATATGGATATATAACATTTTTTTCTCCTTCCATAACTCGTCATAATTTTTCGACAAATTTATTAAGACCACACGAATCTTAGCTGGTCTGTATTAGAAGACTCACTAAAAACTAATGAAACTCCGATATTCAAAATTTCCGGAAAGAGATTATGGTTGCACATTAATTTTACAAAACAAATCAACGTTCACGGGTTCGAAACAACAAATCTCTGATTTTTTGGTAACAGCAAGGTGCTTTTAGAAACATAAATTATGATGGTTTTGTCCCCGAAGACTCAACGAATCGGAAACAAGAAAGTCTATTAGAAAGAGGAGAAAAAGTGCAACGAATGACATCCGTTGCTCGCAGGATGAAGCTCTATAAGGTTTGAGTTGGCCAGATATGGAACTCGATAGCATCAAAAAAATATTCTAACAATTTTGAAAAGCATGGTAAAAAAAAGGGAAAAATCGTGTATCATTTTGTGTTTGCTCTATTATATGTTACTTGGACTTCTTCTGGAAATCAAAACCAAAAATCAGCAAATTAGCGAAACCTACGTTTAAAATACTTGAGAGTAATTAAAACATTTGAAAAATTTCAAATTCAATGTAGCTTTGTAAGAAAATACTCGGGGTGTGCCTGCCCACAAGAACTCAACAACTCAACGTCTCTAGCCTTGGCGGACTCTGCCCACTACCTCATCTGCAAGCGAACGGTCTCCAGAAGAAGCATTTTTGGCCATCGCCTTCTTTGAGATACATTCGGGACCATGACGAATTAATCATGGTAAGCGAAGGATCCATGAATGGAGGATCTGCCGAAAGCTGCCATCAAAAGAAGCCTTACTTCGTTGAGTAGTCGTTGTAGTTGTTGTTGTTGTTGTGGGTCTCGGCGTCGTTGTTGTAGGGGCAGGTGGAGTTGGGGCGATAGCAGTGGGTGGATCTAAAGTTTGAGAAGTTTTACAACTTGCATTTGCAGTTATATATATATCTTTGTTTTGTCAAAACAGAACCATTCAGACGAGAAACTCACCGTATCTGTAGTTCATGGTAAATGAAGTATACGAAGATCCTCTGTAAAGGACTACGAGGCTGTCACTTTCGGAGTAAGAGTTTCGGGGTGGCGATAGACAAAATCTAAAAAAGCTTTGTACTCAAAATTGAGTGAAAGGCTCTCATAATATATCATAGCTTTTTCAACAGATATTCTCGCATGCGTTTCGACAAAAGCTTGATTTGAGAACTTTTTGCTTCATTCGCACTTAGCTGTTTCATAGACGCAAATGCAACTGCAGGGTTTCAAACCGTCAAATTTTGATGTGGACGTTTGGAGTCACAGTCTGCCAGAGTTAGAGAGGGTGATGTAATGTGCCCATGGTCATGACGGCTGGTGGGCAACGAGGAAATGAGTGGCCAAAAGAGAGGCGTTCAAAAACAAATTCGGAGAGAATCCTAGGCTTTGTAGATGCATTTTTTCGTTTTGGAGTTTGCTGTCTTCTTGGTTGGATCTGCCATTGTAGCGCTATGAACCCCCTCCCTCCCCCCCCCCCCCTTCACCAACACCCATTTTGCCTTAAAGGCAGTGCTCGGGAGAATCGCGACTGGGGGCTTTTCACAACAACATGATCTTTTGGACCAGCTGAGTCAGGTACTGTGCTTGAAATGCCAAAAAATGTTTTTTTGGAGTTTACCAGCCTTGCAGATTGTTGGAGGGCGGGGCGAGGGATTCCCGCCATAACCAGCTAGCGGCTGCAGGATACTGTAACTTCACCTATTTTGACGGCGATGGGCTGATCAGCCCAGGTAATCAAGACCATACAGTCGACGGGACTCTACATCCAAAATGCTTCTTCTTCAAGAAAAAGCAATGGGTAATCGAATGAAATTTTTTGGCAAAAGCAGTGTGAAACTGTAGTATAAGCTGGTCGATCTGACGGCAGAAATGTTTTTGTGATATACATTTGCCAACAGCCTTGTGCATTTGTGCGTGACTTATTGGTCACTAATGCCTGAAATTCGGGAGTGCAACATGCTTGTAGAGCGCACATTTCAAATTCTGAGTATTCGTTCGCGCGCAGATATTGCCTTCAGCCGGCAATACAGGGCCTCAAACTTACCGCTACTAGCCCAGATGTTGTGGTATTTTGAGCGACTAAGTCCGTCAAACTAATTTTCTATTATTTTTTCTAGTAAAATTACCTCGCTCCTGCTCTTTGAAGGTCAGCAGCATATTTGATTTCGAGGAAGTTGTACTGGCAGAGATTAGCGGCCGTGAATGTGAAAGAGGGCACCTCGAAGTAAACGCGTCGACCAGAAGGTGCCTGGAAATTATCTCCAACTTATAAGCTCTTTTTAAAGTTCTTAGGACTTACTTTGATGACAAAAGAGCAGCTGACAGCTCCTCTAACAGTAAGCGTTTTCATGGAAGCATCTGCTGTAAGATCTCCAGATCCACACTGGGAAGGATTGGTTGCCGCGCGATCGCAGAGAGTTCCACCGAAACCGCTGGGACAGCGACAGGCTGCGCAGTTCTTCGGGTCAGTATAACCACCGTTAAGGCACGGTAATTTCGCTCCACAGGTGCCTTTGAAAATAAAGCTGGAAACGCTAAGCATATGGACTGGTACGACTGACTGTTGCAGTAGGCCAAGTTAATCCTTTTGACGTCCATGAAAGATGGACCATCACGTTGACCAATGGTTTGCTGATAGTTTGTGTCGATAGTTTGGATTGTATTGCGGCCACTAGCACTGAAGCTCTGAAAATTTCAACTATCTAGGGTACTTAGGCCTGGTTCAGAGTTACTCCGCGTGCCAGAGCCGTACCAGCGCTATGCCAGCGCAGTGCCGGGACGTCAATCGATCAGTACGGGACGCGTGTACACGCGGGCTCCCGCACGGCGCTAGCACAGCGTGGCACGCACAATTCTAATGCTGACTTAATACAAGCATTCAATAAAATAATTCTTACGAATTGATCGTAATGCATGACGGATCCATAATCGTATCCAACACCGTAATCTTCCATCGTCGATCTAAATTTTTGCTTTCACGTGAGAAAATCTTTGTTAACAATGGACTTACCTGGCTTGCTTGGTGAACTGGCTGAGATACCCGTTTTGAATGTTCGACGAAACGATAGATACATAAGAATCGCGGTCGTAACGACCTTGTTCATGATAAAATCCAAGAGCATGGCCTAAATATCAATTTGTGAGAGCGTAATTTTTGGTTGAAATCTGTTTCATATCTGGCATAAAAATTAGCGAATTCTTAGTCCACTCACTTTTCTATAATACAAATCATAACTTTTGCGCGAAATTTGCGAAAATCGCAGTCACTACAGAAGTACGATAACATGAGACGCGAATAATGGAGATTTCGTCTGTCACATCACAGTAAACCCACCAATTTCGTGGGTTACCGTTCCCAAAGAAGTGCAGCCGTATCCAATAGAGATCTGTTGTGATCTTGATCCAACTTTTCCAACCATAGAATAGCAGCTGAATGTACAGTTGTAAACAGAGAGACATGTCTTTCAAGAGTAAACCTTTTGATTAACAGTCAACAATGCGAACTGGAGAAAATCGCATACTTCGAAAGCTGGTCAAATTCGAGATTTCAAGAATCAGACAAAAATGGAGCCGTTATTAGTCGAACACAAACACATCAAGCCGTGTATACATAAAGTGTTTATAGAGAGATTTCTGACGGTCTATACAATTTCGATTCAATGTTTTGATTCAGACTAAGAACGGCGACGTTTTTGTTTATAGAACCCTTGGATTTCGAAGTTGATCGGCTTTCGAGAAATACACATATTTACTCCATTCCGCTACCAAAAACCAAATTGTTTGCGCATATTTGCAGCTAACTACTCATTCTACATTATGTCCTAAAAGTAAGTCCGCCACAGTTGAAGAAAGGTTATGAAACTAACTGCAAAATTTATGAGCTCGATAAATGAGGGAAATTGAGCTGCGACACATGATTGGGACAGTTCAATTCTTTATGAAAAATTATTTATAATGAAGTGCAAACACATACCCGCTACCAAGAAAGAACTCAATACCGTTTCCACTGGGGATACTGTACTGCCTTGTAAATCTAATGCAAGTCTCAGCTTCCCAACGGGCGATTCCAGCCAGTACGGCGGACTCACTTACTGTAACGATGTCACAAATTACAACAAAAAGTACGGTAATTTCTCTTCAACTGACCTCCAGAACCGGTGTTGATATAGTACGGAATAGGTGCATTTGACCATCGAGAATACAAGGACGAAGTCATCGAGCGACGATGTCGCTTCGGCTCTCCATTCTTGGCCGCTAGTTGGTTCTCAGCATTTCTGGAAATTGCATTTACTCTGACTGAGTGATTGTCTTTTGTCACAAGAAAAATTCACTTCAATATGGCATCCATCTGACTCTCTGTCAGAATCAAATCACCCTCGAACAAGTAAGGCAACTGCTCTGGATTTTTTGGTTCCACATCGAAACTGGCTTCATCGAATGACGTAGGCTTAAAGTTTATTCATTTGTATTTCGCAAAAGCTGTGAAAAACTGCTCACCCTCAATCCCAAAATCTCGCTTTGCAATGTGCTCAACTTCCGCAGATTACCCAAAAACTTCTGGACATGGGACGGATCTTGGAAGTAGGAAGACTCTCCCAGTAGCCTCGTGTAAACGTTCCTTTGCTATAATTCCGAATACGTTTGTAAGCAACCTAAAGATAGAAATTCCAAACTAACCCCTGCTACAGTAGCGCATATAGAGAGAAACAAGGCGGCCAGCATGGGAGCAGGTAGCCAAGTGTCTGACCGTTACCTCTTTCCTCATTTGATAGCGATCTATCCGATTATCTGAGAGATTAGCTGACCTGCTATTGTTTACCACCTTTCTGGAACTGACGAATTCTGGGCTGTCATCTTACCGACTTTGGTGAGAAGCAAAATCGAAATGTTACGAATTAGTGTCCAATGTCATGTTCGATTGTAGTTGTCTAGTCATCCCAGACGTCTTTCCTTGAAGTAGAATAAAAAGTTAGTAGAAACTTTCAAGATAAACAGGGTGTCGCAAAAAATAAGCCTACTGTCTGATTGTTAATTACTCTCTTACCGTGAAGTCTTACGAGAAGCTTTAGGTACCACTTTGTATTGACTTTAACTTAGATTTGCGGTATAGAACGAACACGGACCACTCATCCCTACTTTGAGATTACGGTAGAAACTTCGATGAGGCTTCTAAGCTATTAAGTGTCACATTTTGCCTCAGAAGGGTAACCAGTCAAGCCAACTCTCACTCTAGGCTGATAAAGATTACTGATTTCAGATATGAAGATTGCAGCTTACAAACATGGTTTTTCATGAGTTAATCCAGGTAAACCGTAACAGCTTAGCCAATGTTTTTCAAAAATGTGATACACTACTAAAAAAGCTTTAAAAACTCTAAAAAGTTGGGAAATGTGAAACAAAATCAGCATGCTTGAAAACTCTGCTATACAACTTTTTAGTTTTTTTTGGAATTCTTCCACCGGAAGATTTGCTTCACGATGGCGCTGTGCTGAAAGTTCCTACCGTCATTCTACAGTACTGAAAAGAGATTGGTGATTCGCTCTATACTGTGAATGGAAGCTGAAGCCAGCCCTACAGGACTGTAATTGGATCTTCTCGAAAAACTTCATAGCAAGGAACTTGTTAACAATCAAACAGTGGACACATTTATTAGAATACTCTCTTAATGAATTGAGACATAAATCATACACCAAAAAATTTGAATTCTTATCAACAACTCATAATCTCCAACATGAACAATTAAAAAACTTCAACGAGATTTTTTTTGTAAATACTAAAGAAACAAACTCCTGGCGCTTTTTAGCTCATTCAAAAAAACCTCAATGGCATTTAACGATACATGCTGATCAAGGGAATTACTCAAAAGGTGTTTTTTTTTTCAAATTACGATGGCAGATTCACTTATTCCACATTTTCAAAATGAGTTTCGCCTGTTTTTTATTGTAAAACCTATTTCAGCCTGAAATATACTGCTAGCAGTAAAAAAATTTTGTAAGGCTAAAATGAATTCTTTTTTAAATTTCGAAAATTATTTCAATTGATTACAAGTATAAACAAGTCACTTGCCATTTTTATAACCCTATGGTGCCGGCTTGCTCGGAAGGTTAGTTGGTTGCTGATTGTTCATCATGCTTTGAACCTTATCGAATTTATTGTTCACATCCGAATAGAAGATATGAAGCGATTCATTTGGAAATTTCAATATCTGCAAGTTGTAATCTGAATATTCGAAAGTTTTTATTCCTTGAATATCATGCGACATTCAAATAATCAACGGTCATAATCTATTAGTCGACGCTCATCGGATGTTCGAATATTATTCGAAACTCGAATACTCCATGGCCACCATCGGTAGATGCTCATCTGATATTTGAATATTTGCTTATCGTTTAATATATTCGAATACATGCTTGATCATTTTTGTATTGCTGTTGCATATCAATCATCGTTCAGAAGATCGACGCTTGTCAAATTCACCCTGGGATAAATCACTACGGCTGTGATTGACAGAGCAAATTCGGGATTGAAATCTATTTTCGTTGACGTATCCCGGCGCCATGATCAAAAATTCTAGGCAAGTATGCTTGTGAGCGTGCTTAAAGTTCACATAAGACAAACGTATCAAAATGACGCTCGATTTCTTCCGTTGCTACCTGCCATTCATAGCACCGGGAGTTGCAAAAACACGCATTTAACTATCGCTATCCATTCAAAAATCAAATTTAGTTATAACCTTGCTAGAAATTTTGAAAATTCAAATTACGTAAGCGTGGCTCAAGCCGCTCTTTTACTAAAAATCACATGCAAATTTTCGAAAGATGTACAGTCAGAAGACAGCTGTTGAAATGAGAGCTATTGCAGCATAAATCATCACATTTCCCTGAGCCTTAACAGAAGTCTTCCTGACTGGTGTTCTGACAACGTCTGATCTACGCGTGTGAGGGTGGAGGACATTAGGTCGCCGAAAAAGGGCGGTCCCTGCGGTCATTTGCGACAAATGCGCACCCTTGTACATGCGTGGACATGCGTTCCTGCAGGGAATCCGCGCGGGACTCTTCCAAATTCGGCGACCTAATGTCCTCCACCCCGCGTGTGAGCGTCGCAAGAGAGTCGGGAGACAACTGGGTGTAAACTCTTCGTAACTCATGTGCAAATGTTCGGTTACATTTCGCCCTACTCGTACCCAGAGATGTCAAAAGCTTAAAACTCCGACGTGAATTCTACCATAACTACTTCGTCTACTACTTTATTCGATGATAAATGATGAGGGTCACTATTATACGGTCAGTGTAGGCATTTTCAGATTCGTGCTACCCTACCTGTCTGCAAGCGGTCAATTCAGTGATTGTTGTATCGTTCACTGTCCCCTCTGGGTCCATGACCTACGGCACGCATTAACAATGTGGCAGCAACAACACGTCAGCAACGAGGTATTAGTGGTAAGACGTTTTCAACATGTTGTCGCTTGTTAACATGTTAGACACGCGTGGTCAGAGAGGCAAAATAGGGGTAGCAGCAGTGTGGAGTGAACAGTCCTACAGTCTGTGTCAATTACGTACTCCCTTTCGCGTGAGAACTACGCGTGCGCAGCGCGAGGATCTTGCATGCTGACCTACAGGCGATGAGGCCACCTCCAACGCCTAAGGCAGTGTCCAGGCAATGGGCATATGGGTTTTTTGCCTGAAAACTGTCGGGGAGGCTCTAGCTAAGACACTGCCCAAACTCCAGCAAAAACTTCATTCACGGCTGAGAAATCCATCTACAAACATTCCGCGGAGCTATTGCACATAAGTTGACCCAAAAAATGAAAATCGTGAATTTCGCTAGAACTTCGTCTAGGGAGGTTATTTGGTAACACGAATTTGATGTTTATTTCGTGCGACAGCGCCATCCGGTGGAGTTACGGTAGGATTACGGTACGGGGTTAAAATCGAATTTGCCCGAAACTTGGCCCAGAGGGGTTATTCGGCCCGCTGACGCCGAATATCACATAGGTTTCGTGCTGTAGCGTCATCTTCTCGAGTTACGGTGGGTATACGGTAGGGGGTAAAAATCTCAAAATCCGCTGTGACCTAGCACAGAGGTGTTATTCGACATGCTGATTAGAAATACACACTTTCTCCGCACGAAAATGTCTCCCTGCATGGTTTACAGTAGGTTTACGGTAGGGGTCAAAATCACAAATCAGCAAATGTATCTTTCCCCTGTGCTTTGCTTAGGCAAAAGCCGCAGCAGGGTGTGTAGCGCGCGGCGGTGGTCATGTGTGCAAAGCTTCACGATCGTCCGAATCGCCGTACACCCGTATCAGGATGAGCTATGTTTTACACCCGTTATCGTGTAGCTACCGTAACCCCAGAAAATGGCGCTATCGTTCAAAACCAATGTGATATTTGGCATCAGCGGACCGAATAACCCGTCTGGGCCAAGTTTCGGGCAAATCCGTGATTTTCACCCCCTACCGTAATCCTACCGTAACTCCACCGGATGGCGCTGTCGCACGAAATAAACATCAAATTCGTGTTCATCGTACCAAATAACCTCCCTAGACGAAGTTTTAGCGAAAATCACAATTTTCATTTTTTGGGTCAACTTATGTGGAATGGTACCCATTCCGCTGCGGCGCCGTGACCGTAACACTTAGGACTGGTCCCAAGCGAATAGTGTTAAAGTGAGAGAAGTCGTTTTTGGGACGGTCACGGCGCAGGCGCTGATTTTTCGGGAAGGATTTCTCAGCCGTGATTGAACAATTTGCGCTGCCCCTTGGGCAATGCCTTAGTTAGGACCCCCTCACTAGGGGGACGGAACTTAGGAACCCGAACCTAATTAGCTCGATTTGGGGAGTGCCTGCAGGTTACAGTCATGCTCGCTGTCTCTTATTACTCACTAGGACATAGCAACAACCTAAGTCCCGCCCCCATGAGAGCCGTTTGGCATCTAGCCAAGGAATGCTGAAAATCTCAATTGAATTTCAGGGCCGGCTCCGAGCCAAAAACCTTCAAAGTGATCGTACGAAGGTGAAATTAGGCTCAAACGAAAGAGAAAAACCGTGCCATCATCATAAAGTATCTACTGAATTTAAACTGATTGAACACAACATTTTCTTGGTTCAAAACGTTATTCAAGTGTTAGATTACTAAGAAATTATTCAAAAAACCATCAAGTTTTTCAAAAAAAATTTATTTGAGTGCTAAATCCTAGCAAAAGACTAGAATATCATTCGAGAAATGACAGTTCAAAAATTTCCCAAGATTGGTATTTATTTAAATGCTGAAATTTAGGCGAAAGACTAGAAAATCAATTGCGAAACGACAAGTTATAAAATTCTCAAAAATAAAAGTTTGTGTGCCGAAGTCTGGGCAAAAGATTAAAATTTCAAGAAATGACAAATCAAGAACTTCTCAGAAATAATAGTTTTTTTAAGTGCTGAATTGCTGATAAATGGTTTTCACCCTTTATGCTACTATTTATAAGGAAAAAGCGAAGTTTTTGAATTGCCATTTCTTGATATTCTAATCTCCCAGACTTCCGCACACAAACAAACTTTTATTTTTGAGAATTTTGTGAACTGTCGTTTCGCAATTGATTTTCTAGTCTTTCGCCTAAATTTCAGCACTTAAATAAATATCAATCTTGGGAAGTTTTTGAACTGTCATTTCTCGAATGATATTCTAGTCTTTTGCTAGGATTTAGCACTCAAATAAATTTTTTTTGAAAAACTTGATGGTTTTTTGAATAATTTCTTAGTAATTTAACACTTAAATAAAGTTTTGAACCACGAAAATGTTGTGTTCAATCATTTTGAATCAGTAGATACTTTATGATGATGGCACGGTTTTTCTCTTTCGTTTGAGCCTAATTTCACCTTCGTACGATCACTTTGAAGGTTTTTGGCTTAGAGCCAGCGCTGAAATTCAGTTGAGATTTTCAGCATCCCTTGGCTAGGTTCCAAACAGGCTCTCATGGGGGCGGGGCTTAGATTGTTGCTATGTCCTAGTGAGTAATCAGAGACAGCGAGCATGACTATAACCTGCAAGCACACCCCAATCGAGCTAATTAGGCTCGGGTTCCTAAGTTCCCTCCCCCCCCCCCCTCACTAATACCCACGCGAACGAGCCATGCGACCAGATTTGCCTGGACACCGCTTTCAAGCCATCGACGAACGTGACGAGAAGCTCTGGCGGGGTAGGGACATATGGTCGCCGAAAGGTGGTCATGCGCGGACATTTGCAACAAGCCGCACGCCTCTACACATCACTAGCAGTGGTCCTTGTACGCGTGGGTGGAGCCTAATGGCACCTAATGTCCTCTACCTTTCTGACAATCTGCGGAAAAGGGAGCACGTAAATGGCACAGATGTAGGAAGGCTTGATGTACAGTCGAGTAGATTTTCCGCTTGATATAGTGTGCTTGCACTGTGGGTGAAATGCGGGAAAATTTGCCCGTAAAAAATTAGCCATACCATCATTGCCGGCATTCTGCGCGCGCAAATGGAAGGCGTCACAGGCGCAGCTATCTATTTCTTTACGCGCAAATTTTACCGCATTGCACCTAGATAATACAGGGTCCGGCACGAGTCGGTTTCTAGGGTTTCTGAAAACGAAGTCTCCCCTGACTTTCGGGGGTTTTACGAAGTCCCCTTTGACCTACCTGCTTAGAAGAAGATGAAAACAAAAAGATTTACTAGCTTGAAAGAAAAGACGTAAGATAAGAGTGAAAATCTAAATTGGAGCTGAATTCTATGCATGCACAAGACCTTGGCATTAGAGCGCGATATTTAACAAAGCGAGAAGAAATGAAGGCAAAAAACAAAGGAAAGGCAATGATATGAAAATGTCCTCATGCTTAGGGATAGATTTTTGACCGGGGAATCCGTCCATGCTAAAAAGATCCGAAACTTATGTGAAGTGGCGAAAATATATGCTACGATCTCAGATCGTCTGGTGGCCGTCTGGAGACGATCTACTTTTTGAAAAGGTATTAATTCACATAAGTTTTCAAATCTTTTCACATAATACTTTCGCAAATAGTTTTCTATACATACTATCTAGTTCAATTTTGGTGTCATATGCTTCTGTGCGCGCTGTAAACAAGCAATTTGTTTATTTAAACCTTGCTTTCAAATCGCGCGCACTTTTCGCCATGCACGATAGAGCATGTCAGTCGTGTGATAACCTGTCCGAAAAGCTCGTGTTCGACCAAATGGCGCTTATTCTTGGTGCTCGGCTCCGACTCATCAAAAACGATATCCCCTTTGCTGTTTGTTTCAAAAACGAAGTCCAGCCTGCTTCCAGACGATCTGTGCCGGGCCCTGACCTAATACAGTACAAGCACACCATATTAACGATCGGCGCAACTTTTTTGGCGAAGCGACGCCGCAACGTAACAGCCCTTACAACAACAGCGCTCTTGGCGCAGTCCAACTTATAGCATTGAGTCATGTATATGCCCCCACCCTCACCCCTTGTTTTTGCCGCCGGAAATCTCTAATGGCGGAGACTTTTGGAGGCCCCAAAAATTGAACGCGAGTGTGCGAAGAGCGGTCGCCGCGTGCGGCGTACCTCCTGAGTGCAGCCCATTGTCTGAATATATCGCGCTCAACTGCCAACAACCTGCTCTATTTTCGTCAGCGTTTTGCAAAAGCATTTGCCTTCACTTTCATATGCCAAATTCCTGATACGTCGTGGTTAGTAGTTTTTTGGCATTGTCAAAAGTGTTTTCTTCCAGATGGTGTCACTTCCTCAGTTACACAAAGCTCTCCTTGCCGAATGGAGTAAAGAACAGAAGAATAGCAACACTATCGACCAGATTTTGAGACAAATCGGTGTAAGCTAATAAGTTGTGAATGTTGTGTTTTTTTCGTCCAGTTGAGAATAATTATTCTTCCGTATCGGAACTCCTCACATTTAGGATGCCTTGTTTGACCAGGCTGCGATGGCTTCGCTTGACATGAACGCCCTTACCACCATATACAAGTGAGTTATTTTGTTTGCACTTATGTTCAACTTGTCGTTTTTAAGCTCATTATGCAAGTTCTCTTCTCATTTTTTTCTTACTTCATTTTCAACATATCCATAATCTGCGTGTTTTGGACATACGGGGTATGCGAGTCGCCAGGAAATGAGCGGATGTCCTGTCCCTTGTTCAGCCGCTTTTTTCATCTGTTCTCCCTTTTTTTTGAAAAAAATGGGCTCGGTTGATTGAGATTAACGCTAAAAAGTTATTAATACGTCTGAAAGTCACTCATCATTCCTTTTCGCTACATAGAAGGCGCTTAGAAAGGCGACGATAGCTGTTTACGCAGGTTGATAAGTAGTATGAGCTGTTGGTTTCTCATAGACGTTGAAGCTTCCGAAATATTGTTCTACTCCTGCCAACTTTTTCTCAATCTAGCGGTTTCGATTATATTGGACATATAGTAGCTTTGCAATTTGTTGGACTTCTTCACATTGCAGTCCCTTGATTTTTTTCAGGGATTACTATGAGATTAGCGCTCTTGTCGCGGTATTCAAGAATGACATGGTAGCCTTTGACGACGCAATACCCCGGGTGAGTGCAAGTTTTGGTATATTGTTTCGTTATTTGAGGTGCTAGCAACTGCTTGCAATATCCTTTTATCATCGGAGATTGTGTTCCTCACATTGTCCTCATTCTTGCTTACAGGTGCTGTCATTTTACGAACAGTGTCCATCTGCCGCTGAAAACAAATATTTGATGATCGGACTCAATCTCATGTTTCTTCTAGCGAGCAACCGCTTATCCGATTTTCATATGGTCAGTTCTTTTATAGTTTGTTTCGCGATGTTTTTTCTCATTGATTATGTCCATTATTTGTGGTAAAATGCGAATTACTAAATTATTACTGAGTATTGGCTTGTCTTATACCAGTTTCTTGTTTGCTGTATCTGAAATCTCATTGTCAGCATTATGATTTGCAGTTGTTGGAATCAGTTCCCCAAAACATCCAAACGAGCAATCCCTACATCTCAACGCCTGTACGCCTTGAGCAATCGCTGATGGAAGGAGCGTACAATAAGGTTCAAAAAGATGTCAGAATTTGTCTTTGCAAGGCGACTTTCATTCATCAAATTTACCTCAGGTCATTCTTACTGAGAAAACAATCCCTAGTCAGTACTACAGCACATTTATCAGGATCATGATGGATGCAGTAAGGTAACTTTCATTTAGACACTTCTCATTCCAATCCGCTTTTTTTAATGAAAAATGGTTTCCTTTTCTCAAACATCGATCTCGCAATCACGTCAGTGAATTTGAGTTTGCATGAATTGCTGGAATACTCTCAGTTTGTGCACTGCCTTGATTTTGTGGCAGCTCTGCGCACTATGGATATCTTGTATGCTCACCTAAGTTATTGCTGTAGAAAGAGACGATTAGCAGCGCCTCTCCCTATTTCATGCAATTTTTTCTACATTCATGACAGTACAGGCTTTATCTGACACACCTCGAAGACGACTTAGGGTCGCGTTGTGCTCTTTTATGGATATCAATAGAATTCGCTAGTTTTAGAAGCGATATTGCGATCTCTATTGAGAAGTCATTCAAATTATTGAGTACTCGAGATGCGGCAAACATGCTCCTGTTTGACACTGAAGCGCAAGTCACAGAGTTCGCTAAACAGGTTGGTCTAGATCTGTTTCGCTGTCTTCGTGATAGTTTGTTTTCAATAATTTTCCATAGCGAAAGTGGAAAACTGATCACGGGTGTTTTGTCTTCGAAACGGATGCGGCACAGCAGGACAAACCTACGCTGGACACTGCTCGTATCGCTAAACAAACGATCTTCTATGCAAAACAGCTGGAAATGATTGTCTAATTTACTTGAACATAATCACGATGTATATGCATAAATAAGTTCACAAGCTTTAACCCTAGGCAGATTTGGGCTATCTCAGTAAGCGAGCTCCAAGATTATTTTATTTTATTTTAATTTATTTTATAAATACACTCGAGGTGCACCAGAATGAAAAAGAAATAAAAGAAGGTCCAAACAAATGAGATCAGCCAGTCCTCAGCCGCATGCGAAGATAAAAGAAAATACGCAAACAGAACACGAAGCTCTAGGCCCAGCTTGTAAAGTTGAACGAAAGTAACTTAATCAAAAAACAATCACATGAATTGCGCACTCTAAAATCAAAGATGCCCCATTTTTGGGTGTCAACGAGCCCGCCAGTAATGCTAGCTGACCTTACTCCACTGAAGATTTATTTTAGAGGAAGCAAGATTCAGGTAAGAGGTGGCAGAGTAAACATCTACCAACTACTCCAGAAGGCACTTCATTAGGCGGACACATTCTGGGGTGCCGTAGATGAGAAACTAGGCTTCGTTAAGGTGATAAGGTGTTATAGTCGCCCTCACCCCACTAGTCGGTCGGTGGACGAATTGAAATTTGAATTGGAGCAGGCCTGTCACGGCAGAGCGCGACAGGAGACAACGCTCAGCAATTACAGAAACTCAGTATAGGTCAAAAACGTTGTAACAATACAAAAACTGCTAAGCAATGGCGAAGAAATACGCAAAGTGAATGCGTGAATTTGAATGGAGAGCTAAGGTGCCGTGCTCTGCCGCGACCTGCCTGCTCCAGTTCGAATTCGAATTCGTCCACCGACCGACTAGTGGGATGAGGACGACTATATAAAGCTTCTGACGAATGAGCCAGGCCGGTTCAGTTGTTAGTTAATGATGCTTATGTAGATGAGAAACTAGGCTTCGTTAAGGTGATAAGGTGTTATAAAGCTTCTGACGAATGAGCCAGGCCGGTTCAGCTGTTAGTTAATGATGCTTATGATTAGTAACAACCAGTAAACAAAACTAGGCTACTGAATCAAGTTGCAACTGCAGAATCAGGACTCTGTTCCGAAAAATGACCATGCGGACCGAAAACCGACATCTAGTAGCACCGACAGCCATAAAACCAAGAAGGAAAGAAGTGGTAACTGAAAAAAAGACAAAAATAATATCATTTCAGAAAACTTAGGGATGCAAGCTGTGTGCCAGCTCTCATCAACTTAGCCCTGAAGGCGCGTGCAGTCTGAAAACACATTACGTCCATAGGCAACCGCTGAAACCATGTGGCAGACTTGCAGAATATGTCACTGTGCATTTTTGCAAGATTGTGCTTTTTGACTTTGGCGCAGTGCAAATTGAAGGCAGTGTCTCACCAAAGTTGAGGTCGCGCGGATCTTTACATATTCTATCACAAGGACCTCTAAACAGGCCACTGCAATAAGTCCCACTCAATTTGAGCCCCTCCACGTTGAGAAAAATTCGCTCAAAGTGGTGCGCGGAGTGCGATTTAGTACGCGCGGACGACTCTTTCGGTCTCCCCCCTAACGCGTTTGAACATGTTTCTCCACTTGGCATCCACCTCCCCTCTGTTGCTGCCACTGTGGCTGAGGCTAAAGTTGGAAGGTACAACTCGTCCACGTTGCTTCCCCGGGGCCTCCAAAGAACGGGGTTTTTGGGAAGATTGTGCAATTTTGAGCCCTTACAGTGCTAGACAGGCGACAGGCTTGCAAAATGCAAAAATTTCGGCAACTAAATTTTGGTGAGACACTGCCTTCAAATCCTCCCAACCTTTCACTAGCCTTGCATGAATATCCAGTATTTACTTGCCTTCAAGCGATTTTCACCTTTTAAAACGAAAACAAAACGCTAAATCTGAGAGATTGCGTGTCGCATTTTGCGGCGCAAATGCGACCCGGGATATCAATTCATGTTTGCGTAGCGTCCGTTTTGGACGCTACGCCCTCTTGTGCTATGCTGATAAGAATAAAATAGTCTACCACTAACCACCTTCGTGCACACACGACATTTTTGGTGCATCGGCCAAAGCCGAAAAAAGAAAAGTAAGTTTCCTCGTCTACGCCAAATTCGTAGACGAGTCACCACAGGCAGTCTAACCTGCCCAAAAAGACCCTAGTGGTCTTAAAAATCGACTCCTAGCGGTCGTCCTCTTCCCTAGTGAAGATGGAAGCGGTTCTCTATAAGAGACCGATAGCAATCAGCGTTCATACGCTGACAACCTTGACAGCAAACTTCAAGGTATACGCGGAACCAATTGCGTTCTCGCAAGACGAACAATCCCAACTCGATGAAGCCCAAGCGGCCATCGACCTCATAAGTGGGGGGATTAACCAACTAAACAAAGCCAAAGAGGATCTAAAAAGCCTCCTAAACCAATTCAAAGAGTACTATAGCACGAGCACAAAAGACGAAAAGAAAAACTTGAACAACGCTATCGAGGAGATAGAAAGGGAGACCAATTTCAATGAGGTCTTAGGAAAAGCAACAGAGATGGTCTTCATGCTGGAGTCACGCATGACTGAGGCCAAAAGCGCAAAAAACAGACTGATGCGAAAAATTTCACTGGATAACCGTCCAGATATGTTCAAAAGCATGGAAGCAGATGAGATACAAAGAAAAAATTCTCAAGAACAAGTGATTGATGACACCCCAATGATTACCAGTCAGGGGTCAGAATGGCTATCAGAAGATAGCAGCGCCAGCGCAAGTAGCCAGCGTAACGATGCGCAAACAAACAACAACGTAAAAACACCAGTGCTAACATTACCCAAGTTCTTCGGAGTGGAAGAAGACTTCCCGAATTTTGGGCAATTTTCGAAACATTAATACACAATAACAAGAACCTATCCACAGTGGAAAAAATGATGTACCTGAGAGACAGCCTCAAAGGCAAATCGGACAATGCTATAAAGGGCATCCAATTAATTCCACAAAACTATAACTGGATGATCGACACACTGCAAAAGAAGTACGGCAATAAGCCTACAAACAGAGCAAGGATCGTACAACGCCTAGCATTCCTGCGACCCGCAAATAGCAGCGCAGATAGCTGCACATACGTATTCGACAAAATCTCCATGCTGATTAACCAAATGGTATCAGCGGGTCAGGATATTCGTAAGACCAAGGATGCAATGTGGACAGAAAACATTTTGCAAAAGTTCCCACACGAAATCGTAAAAAATGTCCTCATATCCCTCAAGGATAGGGATGAGGTACAGATTGAAGATCTCATGGCACAAATCGAAAACGAAATCTCAGCCAAAGTTTACGTGGAATCAAGAATGAAAGGATACATGCCAAAAAACACTCACTTCCAAAGCGAAAGCCGTCAGCATGTCAACAGACATGAAGAAACCACATCGTCGTCCTTTCCTCCGAAATCCACTCAGAAATGCGCGTTCTGTGCAAACTCAGGACATTTATCAGTGAAATGTCGCACGATTACAGACATAAATGAACGCCGCAAACTGCTCCTCGAAAAAGGCCTCTGCTGGAAGTGCTTTTCCAACACGCACACCAGCGCTCAGTGTCAGAAACCCGACTGCCCTCTCTGCAGTCGCAAACACCACTCCTGCGTATGCTTCACAAGCAAATCGAACGCAAAAGACATCGCTCAAAATCGCGGCAATCACAATGCTAATTTAAGTGAACGAAGAAACTATTCTCAACCACAAAATAATTTCTCCAGTGACGCACGCTTAAGAGCGTCAGCACCACGATTTCAACCTACAAATCACCTCAACGCTGAGATCGAGGACAATCCCAAATCACCCAAAGAACAAGTCATACTAATGACAGCAGAGGGCAACATATTGAATAGAAATACCGGAGAATTCGAAAAAGTCCTCTTCTTTTTCGATACTGGCGCGCAGAGAACGGTCATAAAAGAGGACCTTGCCACCAGACTAGGTCTGCCTACAATGCGTACGGAAACGTGCGTAATGTCCGGAATCGGCGGGCATACGGAAACTTTCCAAACAAGCATAGTAGCTATCAAGGTAGGCACAGCATACGGGAAAGATTTAGAAATCTTAGTCCAAACCAAGCCGATCCTTACCAACGGTTTTCCCTCGGTAAAACTAACAACCAACGACAGGCAGTTTCTCCAGAATAACGAGATCTGCCTATCGAACTCGAAGCTGCGAGGAGAACATCAAAATCCGGATATTCTGGTGGGTTTAGATCACTACCATAGCTTCATCCTTGACGCGAATGTGAATACCACAACTCCATCTGGCCTGAAACTTGCAAAAACTGTGTTCGGACCATTGCTATACGGAAGAGGAATGCTCGAAAATTCAGATCCCGCTCTTGTCACCTACAATATGACAGCTGTGACTACCACGAAAGAAGCTGAAATGCTCGAGAACCTGTTCGAGCTTGAAGGTTTGGGTATCTCATCAGGTGAAACGTCCAAAAACGAAGAGGCGTTTAGCTATCTAGAAACTTACTCAAAGCAAATATCATTCGCAAACGGGTATATCACAGCACCTTTCCCATTGAAGGAGAACCATAAACGCCTAACAGACAATTATCCTGTCGCTCTAAAAAGGCTGTTTTCCCTGCACAAACAACTAGCCACAAACAACACGCAGAAAGAGTGGTATTGCAAAACCATTGCCGATTATGTAAAAGACGGCATCATCGAACAAGTAACGTCAGATGTTAGAGAATGTGCAGGTACATACTATATGCCACATTCAGGCGTATGGCGTCCTCACAAACCCAAACCATTACGTGTTGTATTTGATGCTTCTTCGAAAAAGAAGGGAGAACTATCACTCAATGACGTGATGTTCAAAGGTGAATCCTTTATAAGAAAAATCCACGATATCTTGATTTCGAGCCGTATGAGCAAAGATATCGTACTATGCGATATCGAAGCAGCATTCACCCAAATACGACTTCACCCGTCTCACAAAGATTTCTGCAGGTTCCTTTGGGTGAAAAATCCTGAAAATCCTCCAACAAAAGATAATATCGTAGAGTATCGCTTCAATAGACTGCCGTTCGGCATAACTGCATCTCCAAGCATATTGAACATGGCACTAATGACCTATCTCAAAGCAAACAATAGCAAACTCGCAAACGAGATAGCTAAGAACTTATACGTCGACAACATCCTACTTCACGCAAATTCCACACAAGAAGCTTTGCGCAAGTATCGAGAGTCAAAAACACTTTTCGCAGAGATAGGGATGAACCTGCGAGAATTTGTATCTAACAATGAGGATTTCAATCAATGCATTCCTCAAAACGATAAAATTCCAGGTGGGATCATAAAGTTTCTTGGTGTCACCTACAACACAAACGAAGATAAGTTCATGGTCAAACTAAACTTCCCTCAAAAACTTAATCTGACAAAAAGAGATATCGTGAGCCAACTAAACTCAATTTATGATCCTATCGGTCTAACCGCACCGCTACTCATAAAACTAAAATCTCTCATGAGGGAAATCTTCGATGAAGTCTCCGACTGGAACAGCAGGCTTTCGGTGAATCTAATGAAGAAATGGAATTCCGCATGCCAGGATGTCAACGATACTGTTGTCTCAATTCCAAGATACATTTTACCCAGCGAACAGCATCTCCCACCAAAAACTCTTAGTTTGTGGATTTTCGCTGACGCGAGTATGATGGCAACAGCAACGTGCGCCTACCTAAGAGACGATTCCACAAATCAGATTACATCCTTGATAAGCGGAAAAACTAAACTCGCCCCAAAAAAGGCTAAGCAAACGATACCTAAGCTAGAACTGCTCGGTATAGTCATAGCACTTCGTTTAGGAAGTACCATCCTTGAAGCCATAAACACAAAAATCCCTCAACTTCACATAGCCAGCGACAGCGAAATCGCTCTCGCATGGACAAAAAGCACGAAGAAGTTACCCATATTTGTAGAAAATCAAAGGAACACGATTGAGAAAATTAAAAGAGAACTTGAAAGAAAAGGTGTTACGCTAACCTTGCATCATGTAGCAACCGCGTACAATCCTGCGGACGCAGGAACAAGAGGAATTACGTCCTCTCAAGCTCACGACCACGACTGGATTCACGGTCCTAGATGGTTAACAAAATCAGAGCATCACAAAATACTCAGGCAACTTTCCGAGTTGTCTGAGGACAACGAAGAAAAAGACGAAACTTCAACAAATGTGGTCGTGCAAAACGACTATCCAGCAATCATGGTTAGGCAAAACGAAGTCCTAGTGGATCTATCAAGATTTTCCAAGTGGGATAGCGCACTTAGAACTACGTCAAATGTAGGAAAGTGCTTACATCGATGGATAGAGCGGGTAAACCGCAGAAGAAGTACCCCGCTTAGCACAGAGTTCATTAACAAGTTTGACACTAACTTTGATATAACAGCGTCTGACATGCAACTCAGTGAGCGTATTATCTTCCAGCAAGAACACCGCTCTATTTCACTGGATGAACTCCAAAAAAGATTCCCTCAAAAAACCATAGTTAGGGATGAAAATGGAGTGATTCGACATGAATCACGCTTACAAAATGCACTAATGGACTTTGACACAAAATCTCCCATATATGTTAACCCCAAATCTGACTTAGCTAGGTTGATAATCCGTGATATACACTGCAAGAACGCTCACTGCGGCAAAGATCAAACGCTGTGCTTAGCAAGGCAGCGATTTTGGATACCTCGACCATCCAGCGCTTACAACAAATACATCAGGAACTGTACCACCTGCAAACGATATCAAGGACTCCCATTCGGAGCCCCAGCAATGCCTCCTCTTCCTGGAGATAGAGTCAAACGTTCACGTTCATTCGAGAACGTGGGCTGCGATTTCTTTGGTCCAATCTTCGACAGGAACGACGGGCGCATGTATGTTTGCCTTTACACGTGCCTCACAACTCGGGCAGTTCACTTGGAAGTTGTCGAAAACATGTCTACCGGAGCGTTTCTTGATTGCCTCGTGAGGTTTGTCTCACGTAGAGGAGTACCCAAGCTAATACGCACGGACTGCGGCACCAACTTTAGACTGGGCCAACAAATACTCGAATCCATGTTCCAAAATGATGAGAGCACAGGCTCTTCAGTCATGACATATAGCGCAAGCACTGGCATCCGCTGGATTTTCAATCCCCCAGCTGCTCCATGGATGGGAGGAGTCTGGGAGAGATTAGTGGGTACAGTAAAAAGAGCCCTCCAAAAAGCATTCGGGAGAAAAAAGTTCACATTTACGCAGCTTTGTACAGCAGTCACCCGCATAGAAGCCGTAATCAATACAAGACCGTTGGCAAAATTACCTTCAACGGACATCTCGGATATACCACTCCGGCCCGTCGACTTTCTACAGGGAAACCTGGCGTACAGCATACCGAATGTCGGCTTGTCCACGGAACGCGACAACTCGTATGATCCTGACCTAATTCAAACTGCGCTACAAGCAAGACAAGCTTTGGAATATTCAGAGACCGTAGCCAACAAATTCTGGGAAAGGTGGAATACCGAGTACCTGACAATGCTTCGTGAAATTCAGCAATCCGAACTTCGTCAATCCAGACATACCGCCCTAAGAGACCCCATCGTCGGTGAGATAGTCTTAATACAACAAGATTTCATACCACGAGGCAATTGGTCTTACGGCAAAATCATTGAACTTCTGCGAAGCCAGGACGGTCAGGTTCGATCCGTCAAGTTACAGCTACCGAATAGGCACATTCTACATCGTCCACTAACGAAAATCTATCCGTTAGAGCTTAGAAGCACACCAATCAACGACAATCCCATCGAAGAAATACAAGATAATGCTCCAGAAACAGCGACGAGACCTTTACGGCAAGCTAGAGTAAGAGCTCTACAAGCAATTCAAGAGTTTGAAGAAAGTTTAGAGGAGCCTAACACACCACGCGCTTCCCAATACATCAGTTTAGGAACATATCCACTCTTACTCACACTTTTCCTAACCATCATAAGCGCGGCAAATGCAACGCAAAGCGCACTGCATTGCCTTAATGGTACAGTGAATATAACCTCACCGAAAGAGCAGTTCGAGCTTTGCATAGCCGAAAGGTGCAAAACTTATGCAAAAAACAGCTCTGACCTATCACTTCGTTTACCGCACACGTCACAAGCAAATAACATTAGCATATCCATGAAATTCAAATCATCCACGAACATGGTTCATATAGCTAGAACATGCAAAATGCCTTCCATATGTGACCATCCGCATTTAATTCTATCAAAAAAGCTTCTTGCTAACCCACACTGTTGGCCTACAGGTGCAATCATCTCAATAGCAGCACTAATCTACCTCGTGCTTACAATTCCACTCATCCTATACCTTTGTTGCGCAAAACGCAAAAAGGAACAAGTTCGTTACAGGCCACACAACAGACTTTCACTTAGAACTTTCGCACCAGCACCCATACATAACACAAACATCATTGCCTTGAGCTTAATCGCCCTCACCACGCTGGCTAGCGCCTGCCAACACGGGCATATGAGGCACAACGTAGACCTTGAGTGCGGCAGGGACAACCAGTGCACCTATGAACTCAATAGAGAGGTGCTCTTCAACAAAATTCAAGTGAATCTGTGCGTTCAGATACGCCACGCAAACAAAACTATAGGAACACTACATATCAAAAATAACCCAATAACAATGGAATGCTCGAAGCGCACACTGTTTTTCACCAGAGATAGCAAACCACGTGTTTATAGCGCGGTCAGATGTCATCAAGCAGGGTCTTGCACAGAGCAAATATGCGCGAACCTCAAAGCTAATGGAACGGTACAGGAGCTTGAGCGTCAACACGCCGAAGAATATCCAGGGTACTCAGGATGTGAAAGAGCCTGTGGTGGATTAGCTTGTGGATGTTTTTTCCCGATACCGGCCTGCTCATTTTACAGAGTCGCACACGTGCCACGCAACGAGGACGTATACGAAGTCTTAGATTGCTTAGAATGGAAACCCAGCGTCAACCTTTCCTTGCAACTTACGCTTTTCAATAGGGTAGCATCCAAGCAGATGATATTGCTACCCTATGTAACACAAAAGTTCGAAGAAATCGAGTTCACAGCCATATCAGTGCACAAACCGGCACTCCCCGTACTTCACAGGCGCTTCGCTATCTCTAACAATACCGCACTAGCAATTCCAGAAGGCTATAAACTACCGGTCGAATGTTCATCCGCAGCTAATGCATTGTCAGACTTCAGATCCTGTGCAAATCGCATGATATGTGCATGCAGAGGAACAAACCCACCAACCCGATGCGATTGCCCAAATGAAAACATACAGGATATCAAAGCAGATGCATCAAACAAGCTGCCTACAATAACACCATTCTCACAAACATTCGTCTACGATAACAGCATCGTGACACGTACACAGGAGGCTGAGGTCACAATAAAAATCGAGTCGAAACTGCTCTTAGACTCGGGGCATTACACGTTAGATCAGGAATGCCAAGTCTCAGTCACTAATGTGACAGGATGCTACGACTGCCAAGAAGGCGCAACCATATCCATATCATGTCTAACCGAAATCGACGCTTGGCTGACCATAAGATGCGGTGCGCACACTTTTCCCGTCGAATGCGGTGCAAAAACTACGCAGTCAAAAGTTGTATTGGATTATGATCGCGCTATCGTAGAGGAGAGATGCACAGCAACATGTAAGGGAAAACAAATCGAATTTGATCTAGCCGGACACCTGGAATACATGCCCAAACACCTAGAAGCGCCGTCGTTTGAGACTGATGGAGACTTCACATGGCATCAGAAACTGGACTGGTTCAGCGATATCAAAATACCAGACCTTAAGCCACTTATGAAATTGGTAGCGCAACACTGGAAACTAACTCTGGCAGCGGTGAGCTCAGCACTCATAATCACCCTCTTAACGTACTGCCTGGGACCGATAGTACTGGTTACTATTGTAAAACTAGTCGTACTCGCGGTGCAAAGCGTGCTACGAATCTTTGGCACTTTGCTTGCACTCATCTTCAATATATGTAGAAAACAATGAAAAATGCGAAAAAAAAATGATGAAAATGCAAATGAAAATGCATACACTTGTAAATAAGTAATGTAGAAAACATAAACAGTAGACAATATGCCATTAACAAATGAATCCTCACCTTACGGCACTTACCTTATCATCGTATGATATCTGCCTCTGTATCTAATCATTCTCCCTCCGGCAATATCGCCTGCAACTCTTTGTAGGTAGTTGCTATCTTATCTTCGATAAGATAGCTATTGCAACGAATCCTTTAAAAGGCTCCCGTCCCAACAAGAAACACATCCATACCAACTAAACATCACTATGCTGGACGAAGTCGACGTGGTGACGCACATCGAGCCGCTCGCAAACGCTGTCAGGACCATGGAGCAGAAGATGGACTTCCTGCTACAGTCATTCGAGCAACGCCTGGAAGCCACGGTCCAGAGACTGGAGATCCGTCTAAGGTCATACGATCAGGCGCTCGACACGCTTCTGGACCGGTCAAAACCGCGCTCCAACTGCGCATTCTGCCCCTACGAGGACAACCGCGACGCTCACCCCACGGGAAGATGCCCAAGATACCCCGACGCAGTGGCAAGAGCGGTGCAGGCCAACGTTTTGGGCCTTTGCAACAAGTGCCTACAACCACGCCATGGCCAGGACTGTGGAGTGAAGTGCTCCATTTGCACCGCGGACCACAACATGCTCCTGTGCCCGTCGCGTGGCACATCCAACGCGTTCAAGCGCAGAAAGGTACCATTTCAATAGCTTTTTACACATTTTTTCTTTTCCTTTTCCTTTTTTTTCTTTACTCTACATATTTAGAATTGAAGTTTTGACTCCTGCCCCTCCCCTCACCACCGTCGTCGCCATCGCTGCTCCGCTATCGCAATCAACTCCACCACACACCATCGTCGTCGTCATCGCTGCCCCTCTCCGCTCCCAACTCCTCCGCTCGTCGTCGTCTTCCCTCCGCAACGCATCGTCCAGCCGCCCACGTCAAGTGATCATTTCTCTCATCGTTTTCTTTTTTGTTGTTAATTTTCATTCCTATACTTTATTGTTGTTTTCGTTGTTGTCAGTTTCTCGCCCCGGGCCGCAGTGTCGCATTTTGCGGCGCAAATGCGACCCGGGATATCAATTCATGTTTGCGTAGCGTCCGTTTTGGACGCTACGCCCTCTTGTGCTATGCTGATAAGAATAAAATAGTCTACCACTAACCACCTTCGTGCACACACGACATTGCGACGAAACGAAAGACTATATGATTTGAACATTTTTGGTCGAACATTATAATTTGGTATACTGTTGTCAATATAGAGTCGCCTATACAAGAGACGTGTGGAGGTTTTTTTGCACTTTTTCCATTTTGCAAATATCTTTTTTTCCGCGCAGGATTCCAAACCTGGGAGCAGTATTCTAGATGGGGGCGAAAGAGGGTTTTGCAAAGCCGTGTGCATTTTGCATTCACGATTCTACTCAAACTTGGTTCATAGGATTATTCGACATTCTCACCTCGCATACTGGACTCTTCTCATGCATCAACGTGGATTACATAGGTATAGGGCAAGAGTCAATATCATAGTAATTTCGGCTGTATTCTGATCCTAGTAGTCACTTGGCATGCCCATCACGAGTATCGTACTCTCTCGCCCCAGGATCCAGTGAGGCGTTATTGCGAGGGTTACGGTGTGTTACTCTTTTCATTAATGTGATGCACCATAGATATATTAGTTTGTCGCGAAAAGTTTCGAATGGATACAAAATCTCATATAAATTCTCAATATGAAACCTACATTCAATGCAGCTTTGCTATATCTTTATGCGACTACATTTTCGAACCATAGCCATACAAACCAGGGCCCAGCACGAGGTGGCATATGAGAAATTCAAGAAAAGTCCCCCTTTACATTGAAAATTACGAGATACTTTTTGTAGTGTTCGTAGAAGCCCTTCTAATAATCTGAAACGAAAAAAGTGGATTGAAGTGAAGAAGAGAAAGAACAAATCAAAGATTAAAGAGCGAAATGTGAAAAGGCTGCTTTAATATTATCAAGAGCCGTAACAAAGCATATGGGACGAAACTTGGGTCAAGGTGAGCTTATAGGTAGAGCTTGGTCTAAAAAACAGATCTATGAAAGAAACTTTGAAAATTTATGTGAGGAAGGGGAGGTTTGTTAACGTGACTTTGTCTGGTCCCACGCAAGCTCAGAGTGCTCCTAGGTTGCGCCGGAGCAACCTAGAATGGAAGAAAACACAACTCTTTTTATTCACAGAATTTTTCCATATCTTTTCGTACTTTGGTTTTGGTCATCGGTGGATGTACACAGCAAATTTGTTGGCTCACTCTGTTTACTCGTGGTAAGCAAGCGATTATTTACATTTTTTGCGTAAAGGTTGCGTTTTGACCAGGGTCAAGCTTGTGATGCGACTGTCGCAACGGGGGGTCGTAAGAGGGTATCTAAGGTGGGGGCGGGGGGTCGTAAGGGGAGGTAGTTAGACTAAAATACCCTAGGCTTCAAAGGGAATCAAAAAGCAAGCAATTAGTCATGTTCTTTACAATAAATCTATTAAAAATGGGAAATCAGAATAAAAAAGATGAAAAATCTGTAGAAATTCTCAAAAAAATACAAAAGCTCAAAACACTTTTGAAGGATTTATTATTTGAAAAAAATGCTAAATGTACCGATTTCCCTAGAAATCTTGCTTCTGAAGCCTTCCTGAAGTCTCACACACTCGACAAAAGCGAATGTCTTTACTAGCTGTGACCATCATAAAATTCTAATTCTATTTGTAATGTTTTTTACGGGCTCATATGATTTATCTGTACTTTTGAGATGCTCCGCTATATCAGTGCAAAATTTGGTGTTATTTTGTCAACTGTGGATTTTCTTATGATTTTATGTATGGTAGCAAAAAGTCAGAAGAGGGGGGTCGTATCTGGGTCGCATCTAAATTTCTTCGGAGCTATTGCAGCTTGTTGGCTGCAATTCTGCTATAATATAAGGCCATCCTCCTACTTTCCCTCATAAAAATTGCAGGCTGTTTTATAACTTCTCTGGTAAGTTACAAAATTTCAAGCTCAAAAATCCCACTTTTTGCTTTCTAGGATCGCATCTAAATTTGAGATAGTCGCATCTAGATTTTTTCGAGCTTACTGCTCCTCAAGAGCTGAAACTTTTTCTTTGGATAGGCTGGGCACTATACTACAGAGCCTGTGCTTTGCAGCCTCTCAGTCTTTTCCTGGCCTTAGTTACGAATTTTCAAACTATCGTGCTCATGCACGCTTTTGACGTCGTTCTGGACGGCGCTCAAGCGGTTTTTTTCGCGGGAAAAACTGTGGAAGAGGTAGGAATTAAGTTTCTTAGTCGAAAACATCCTTTGTAGTTCAAGAATGTCATTTTTTCTCCATGCAAAAATTTGTGTCGGGAATCGAATTCGATGGCCTGAAGTATGCCTGAAAATTCAAAAAAAAACTTGCAGAATCTCAAACATTATCAAAGGCGGTATGTGTGCTACAGATGATGGACGCACCCAGTGGCCTAGAAAATCTGCTTCCGAAACCTCACTGAAGTTCTCACGCAGGTGTTTTTTGAGATTGACGTTCGTTTATGCAGATTACCGCGAGGAATGTGGGCCAGGGGAGGTAAGGGGGATAAATGAGTGAGGGTGGGGAGGGGGGGGGGGGAGGAGGAAGGGGGGGAGGTCGTACGGATGGGTACCATCAAGGGAGGGGGTCGTAGATGAGGGTCCCGGATTGCATCAGCACGCTTGACCCTGGTTTTGACACTTTGAAATCGTGTGCACCCATGTTTATGCACTGGTCGTGTTTGTAACGTGTTGGTTTACAGTCGAGTAGATTTTCCGCTTAATATAGTGTGCTTGCACAGAAGGTGAAATGCGGTAAAATTTGCGCGTGAGGAAATAGCTTCGAATGTGACGCCGGCCAATTGCGCGCGCAAAATGCCGGCAGTGTTGGCGCAGCTACCTCTTCGCGCGCAAATTTTATCGCATTTAATAAACTGTGCAAGCACATCATATTAGGCCTAGGGCATAGTGTCCACGATACCGTCGCGCTGCGATTTCTGAATTACGACAACTGTTACGCATTCGTTGTATGTCTATGCGTCTGCTACGGTGCTTGTGATAATACTCGTTCGGCGCGAGGGATCGCAGACCCTTTTTAGCTAGGGCATAGCTCTGCAGCGATAATCGCCGCGATTTTGGCCGAACTCAGCGATGTCGCGTCGCGCGTGCTGCACGGGCGACTGGGCGATATCGCTGAGGTGCGAGGGACATCTTGAGAGTTTTTTGTACGCATGTATTGTTCTTTCACCTCGTTTTTGTTTGAAGAATAAGAAAATCTCTTCTGAAGTAGTGAGTCCTCATTTCATGATACTGCCGTGTAAGCCGTCGTTTTCTGTTTTCTAAATCAATATGAGCTGGTTCGTTTTTTTAATGTTTTTTCGTAATTTTAGAGTCGATGCATTTATTTTTTGCAGATTAAACACGGCATATCATGTTTGAGTGGGTATCATCACGTTTTGCAATTCGCATAAATGCGTTTGAATGACGTCCTTTACGTGCCATAAATTGTCATGTGTGTGAGTGCACGCAATCGCGCACGCTATGCCCAAGCTCGCAGGACGACGATTGCGTCGTCGCGATCTCGTCGCCCAAACCACCGATTTCCCCGGCGACGAAATCGTGGACACTATGCCCGTTCCCTTAGGTAACGGGCATAGTGTCCACGATTTTGTCGCCGCGATTTCATCGCCGGGGAAATCGGTGGTTTGGGCGACGAGATCGCGACGACGAAATCGTCCGTCGCGCGTGCATGGGCATAGTGTGAGCGATTTCGTATCTTTGCAAACACAGGGCAGGTGCACGCAAACTGAGCAGACTGTTCTCGTGCGTTATGCGTTATTCCACTCACTTCACTTTCAACATAGATCCCTTATGCCAATCGTGATGAAATCGAGTACAAAGAATTCCCACATTTTGCCACCTTTCAACAAATCCATTTTTCACGAGCCTACCAATTCTTAGTACAGTGAATCTAACTCTGCGAGCCAACAGCTACTATTAAGACACTCTTCACCAAATTTTTAGGTAAAACAAGCTAGTACGTGGATTTTGTGGTGCTTTAGCAACGACCCACATTGAACACCTTTTCAAAAAGTCGAGCTCAGCATCACTGCGAAGATAGCGAAAACACATGCATAAATGTTTGGTGTTGTTATACGGATAGCGAAACGTAAGAATATGCAAACAAGCAGAGTGATAATGTATTAACTCTGCGAGAAGCAAAGCTCCAACACAAAAATCACCCAGAAAACAATCCAAAAAACCATCTCGTCAAAAATGCTTACACTTTCGAAAAAAAGTCATCCGACAATTTAAGGTTAGGAAAAGGCGTCGAAGTTAGAAGTATCTTTGTACATCTAGTTCAAACAAGTTCCATTTCTTTTTCAAACAAAAACAACTGAAACATCAGCGCCTGTCTATAAAAAATCCTCAAGATGTCCCCCGCACCTCAGCGATATCGCTTACTCGCCCGTGCAGCACGCGCGACGCGACATCGCTGAGTTTTGTCGAAATCGCGGCGATTATCGCTGCAGAACTATGTCCTAGCTAAAAAGGGTCCGCGATCCGTCGCGCCGGACGATCACAAGCAACGTAGCAGACAGACAGACATGCCATGAGTGCGTAACAGTTGTCGTAATTCAGGAATCGCAGCGCGACGGTATCGTGGACACTATTCCCTAGGCCTTAAGCGGGAAATCTGGGGGGCACGCGGAAGGCGACAATCGGCGGAAAATGGAGGCTGTGTATTATCCGCAATGATTTTCACGGATTTCTACTTGTGGCATTGTATATGTATCTGCCCCCACCCCCCACCTCCGTAGTCCCCCGGGGTGTCACTTTGACACCGGAGAGTTTTTGATAGGCACAAAATTGGGGATTGTCGCCTTCCGCACCACACCCGAAAAATCTACTCGATTGTACCTGTACTGGTAAAATTGCGTTAGACCTTCAATCGGGTTGCTAAAAGCTAGAGTTGTGCTTTCTA